ATGTGTGTTCGTAGAATTGACTTCAATAAGCGTATAAAGTAACGCTTAGACTACTTAGTCTACTTCATAAAATAACGTGTGGATACTTCTGTTCCATTTAATTGGATTTTATGCAATTACAGTATACATACTTTATAAACTTGAACACGTGCTGAAATAAACCGATGGTTACTCGATCTCTGTTTGTGTGCGCTAGTCTATAAAAATCAACGTTTGCTTAAGCTTCCGTAAATTAATTACTAATGCAATTTAATTAAGCACTATAGCACATATCGCATAGCTAATATTCAAGAGTGAGCGTAAAGAAGACGCTATAATTTTCTAATCGAAGATTAGATTTTAGCGGCTAATTTATCGTCTTTTCTAATGATAATAACTTATTCAAGCATATATATTTATGAGATTCTTCTGCATCCGTTGTTTCTTCGATGTTAATCACGACTGTTACCATAAAGTATTCTGCTACGGATGATAGAGAAGAGGAACGTGTTCGTTAGTCGACAGCACCGGTTGTCCATTTATTCAATGATTATGATTCTGGCGAATTTATTGAAGGATGATCATGATACGTTCACGGATACATTCGATCAACGTTCTGTGATGTTAACTGTAGAGTAATTTGAGGAGTAATGAAATTCGAATCGTAATTGGAATATTGGAATGAATGCTGGGATTATTATCGGACGATTAGATTGATAGTAATCCATGACACGTTAGAGGGATAATGTTTTCATTTCCAACATGTATCATATATGTATGTTCATTTCCTATGTCTTGCGGATAGATTATCGGTATTGCTTTCGACTCGCGTTCAATTACTTGAAACATCAAGAAATATGTCGATCAGCTAATTAAGCAACGATATTTTTTGTTGACAATAAATTGGAAGATTCATTCATTCTGTATAAAACACAGTTGCTCTTACTGAAACAAAGTCTTCGATAATGAGTGTACTCGTTTAACTGCTTTTCTTCTTTTAAAAAATGCGGAATATCTTTTCATTTCTGTGCAGTTGAAAATTTCCAAAATTTGAGTTTTATTTCAACCTTATCTTAATATACATAAAAAGTTTTCAGAACTTCCAGTTACTTACAGTTTCTTTATTTCTCAAAGTTCATTAAACTCTCAAAATTTCATCGTAAAACTGTGTTGATCAATCCTAAAACTAGTTGAGGTCTTATCGGTAGATTAAATCTGTTCAAAGTAGGTGAACTTTGGCAAACAAGAGCACTGTGTAGTTATGTCTATACGTATGCACGAAAAGATCGTCGACGAGAAACTCGGAGCAACTCCAGCTAACTCGATTGTTCCGTACGGAACAAGGCAGCCTTTCACGTGGCTCTCGTTCTGTCTTTGATGAAGGATCAGCACGTATCGCCTGTCTTGATGTCCCGTGAGGATAAGATTCAATTAAGTCGATATTGATGCGACGATAAGCACAGGTAGATAACAGGCTCCTCAATGCGCTGGCGTATCGTTACGGTTTACTGGTGAAATTTTATGTATGAAAATGTTCTTGTCACTGTTACATTATAGCAACTTTTCCATGCTTTCAAGTGAAGAAAATTCACTATTCCAGTCATTAAAAGTTAGTAATTACCGATAATTTAATAACAAAGTTTGCTGCTTTTCCTGTTTTCCTTTTAGCTTTATTAAAGATTACTTGTTCTAATTAATGTGAATACAAAATATGGATTTGCAGATACGTATTTATTTATTGTATATCTGTATTTTCCACCTAATGCACTGCTAAAAAATTTTGAATAGAAATTGGCCAACTTTGACTGACTATAATTCGACGAAAAATCATCGTAGAATGATGCTTTCGTTTAAATTAAAGTTTGAAACCTGTACTTTAAAATATTCTTTCTAGACTTTAAGTTTGATGCACCCTCGCCAATGTAATCCCTTAAATGTGAGGTCACGTTAGTCTTATTGAAAATAATCCTTGCTTAATTGCCGCTCTAATTTCATATCGCTTGGATTTACGCGCGTGTGTGTGACTTTATTACTGTTTATAGCCAGTTCTTTATGTTAATGCATACCGAATTCATGCCAAAAGTGCAAGGTTTACTTTAAAGTGCGATAACTTTGTAAAAAGAAGTTCATTATTACTTCAAATCATTACTTCAAATCATACTTGGCAATTTTCACTTAAAATTCGAAAACAATATCTTAAAATAGAGGACTCAAGCTTCAATTTAAGACAAAAATCATGATCCTACGATGATTTTTCGTGCAGTAATAATCAGTCAAAGTTAGCCAACTTTTATCCAAAATTTTTCTATGCTATAATTTTTTTGTGCAGTGTATATTTATGTTTCAAGGTTCTTCATTTTCGAAAGTTGAAAATTTCAAAAGAACTTAAATATGCATATGCTTCAGGAAATCTGTTGATTAGCAGAATACTTAACGTTAATTACGAAGTTACGAGAGAACAGGAAAATTTTTACTTGGGAAATCCAAAATTCATTGATCTCTTCTGCGAAGCCTATTGGAACAACGAAATAATTGATTAGAAATAAACAATACCAGAGAAGAAGAGATTTCAGAAGAAATTGCGTACAGTGTCTCTATTATTGCGATAAAAGGTAAAATCCTCATAAATCATCTACGTCTAAGTGCCCTAACGGTAGGATATGCATAAGGAATGCGGAGTAAATTTTTTCCAGTGGTAATAAAGCCGCATGAAAAATCGCGCGATCTTTTCTTCCTCGATAAGTGTATCGATACTATCACCGCATCATACAAAATGCGAGTAAAAAGCGTAATAAACTATTTACATTCTTTACAGATAAGCCAGACAAATAGTTCGTTACTCGGAACCAATGCTTCGTTACCGAACGATGAAAGCTTAGAAAACATTAACATGTCTTCGTTTTCTTTTGCACCGACACTTTATCGTTCGTGCGCGAACCGATCATTTTTTCCAACACGTAAAACAAATGAGTTAATAGAGAACGGAGAGCGCGTCGTATAAACGGAAGATTGAAAAATAGAATATTAAGATCGGCTCCTCACGACCGTCGATAATTACTAGCAAGCATGAGAGGCACGGCCGATTTTTCGCTGTCCAGGGACTCGGTGACAGCTAATATCGCTGTCATATTTTTCATGCGATCCGAATAGGAATGTTGCACCTGCAAAAAGCTCGAGGCACGTGCTTCGCGCAAAGCCGCGATAAATCTTCGTCCGCGCTCGCCGATGCTTCCATTACGATCTCGCGCAATGACTGTGCATCATGTTCGCTGAGTCAACTCGGAATTCAGAAATACTTGAAGTCTCTGAGACTTGAAGTTCGATTTTCTCCTGTTGAATCGTTCTCATAGAAAACTACCGCCGGCGCGATCCATCTTCGCGAAGACGAATGAATAGGTCTTCAAACGCGATTTGCAAATTGGCCGGAGGGATTACTGTGATTCATGTCCAGTTGAATCTATGCACAACGTCGAAAATCACCATTAAGTAGATCAAAAGTTATATCTCGAAATTAAAGACTGAGAAGACAGGAATGCAATTTTTTTTACAGTTAATGCAATTTTTATTTAGTTTGTCGTCTTCATTAAAATTATAGTTTTAAAAATAGTTTCTCAACTACGTTTACACAACATTAACATGCACATATACATACCATTTCCAATCATATTTTATGCGTTACGTTACATTGAGCATTATACATTGCACAAATTTCCTATTAAATTATTCATTATGCATAAACCATCTTTCACTCTCAATGATCAATAAAATAACGATGATTTATTTATCAAAAGGTTTAACTAAAGGACTCTATTGTACATAGTTCAAGTTCTCGTTCCAAAATTCCATTCTGCTGAATAATAATAAAAAGTGTATTTGTTATAGATAATTACCGGTATAAAATCGTATTTAGAATACATACGGTGCAAACAATATAAATTATTATACTTGTACTAACCATACTCTTGAAGTGAAGAAACAAGTGAGAGGAAATATGTAAATCAAGTTTATTTGGAGAGTAGAATTGGTCTCGAAATTGTATAAACATTATTATGGCACGCGAGTCGACTGCACATGGAAGTGTATTGATCAAACAGCCACGATCGAACGGGAAGAAAGAAGCTGAAGAATTCGGGGAATGTCCAGAAGCGTGCTGATACACGGCAACCGACGAAGAACAAGTGTCGGCATCGTCAGTGGATCGTTTTTACCTGATGGACATCCGCTCGGTCACGCGGACAAGAAGAAGATCAATTACTGTGACAAAACATCGATAAATACCGAAAGCCGAAACTCGTTTGTTCCGGTAATTGGAATGGAGATACGCGGGCTTTTCGTTGCGTTCATCAATTTTTTATACAGATAACTCGTCCAACATTTGCTGTACTCGACGTACAGCAAATACTGAGTACTTGGATGGTTAGTAAATTGAAAAAATGCTATTACGCTGCTAAAGTATAAACCTCAACATACAATCGTTTACATTAAGTTGTCAGTGCAAATTAGAGTTAATTAAATTTAATCGTGCGCATTAAGCATCGATTGCGGCAAAATACAATAAATTTAATTGAATAGCAACTGTTCCGAACAAATTATGAATTAATTTGAAACTGATTCGATTGTTTCATTATTCCATGTACAGCAACATTATTAAATAAATCGAAGTTATCAATCTTGGAGATAATATAGGTACTTACGTTAAACAAAAACTAGTAAATTAATTCACGCATGATAGGATAATCGTTACACCAAACTTCAGGCATACTTTCGTCATTTTTAGAAACAATTAGAAGTAAGTTTCGTTGATCACGCTTTAACCGACATTGTGTAGAAATTATCGGAGAAATAAAGCTAAGTAAATCTAAAACCGCAGGAAAGTGTCTTCGTTTAAATATCTGAACTGAACTGTTCTATTGTCAGACTTGCATTTCGTCTCGATTTATTATGTAACGACTCTTCCCTGCGAGGTTCTTATACTAAGGCGTATGGAGAACGTCAGAATGGATTCGTAAGAAGAAACATACGTTTTTTCTTGGAGTCCTCGTGCATACCTCCGGGAGTTGCAGCTCCGTGATTATGATGGTGGAGTGCCAGGGGGTCCTGAGGATGCGGATGAATGGCGGTCAGGGCACTTCCGGCTGGGTCACCTGGGTTGACCGCGACCCCGACCCCCAGGTGAAGAGCACCATGCTGCGTCGCGTGTGCCGGAAGCTCCATGCTGATCATAGCACGCCACCCTTCTTCCAACCCTCGTCTTCCGCCACCCTCCTCCGCTTCGGACAACACCCCGTCGATCTGGACGAGGCGTCTGCTCAACACCCCGTCTCCTTCTGCAATCAAAATAATTTAACGATCTATTACTGTATTGTATTAATGTAGTATTTACTACAGTACTACTAAATTTACTAATATGTAGTAACTACTGCTATGTGTAGTAATACATATGAGTAGGAAGAACCTCGTCATTGCGATGTGCTGACGCATCTACGTCATTTGTGGTTGATTTTGTTGTAAGTAGAATGTAGAACTTTGATATCTGTGTTCCTTATTACACAAACACGTCTCTTGTGTAAATTGAACAATCTAAGGTGACACACATACAACACTAAAGACTTAATCTACTATTCTAACTGAGTAACTGTTCCATTAGTTGAACGCTCACATTTGTATGAACAATTTGGATAGCCAAGGTTTTTTCTACTGTTTAATAAACGAATAAAATTATATTATTATTTTAGTCTTCTTATCATTGTTCATATATATATATATGGGAACAATATATAAGAACAATATATATAAACCTACAGTGGTTATATTAATTGTTCCTTTGCTATTGCTGTGTGTAAATCGACAACTTTATTATCAACTAGCGACATTCATAAAAAAAACCTGTACTCGAATTAATCTTATTCGATTCCTGGCGAAAATACAGCATACAACACTATTTACAGGATTTTCTTGGTTCAAAACCAATCTCGTTTTTCCGAATTCGAAAATTGAGAAAAACGTTGTTCAAAACGAATTCAACTTTCGCGTACACCTAATACAATGCTCCCTCAATCTCCCCGGCTAAACTCAAGATCAAAGATTCCGAGTTTCCGGAGAAAACATCCGTGAAGAAAATCCCGATCATGATGTATAGTGTTTCCCTTCTCTCTGTTCGAATAGAAGCACGGCGGGTAGAGAGTTTTCTTCTCGAAAATATTAACTGAGTTTCGATCGGAGATGCTCCGGCGCAGTCGAATGGCGCAAGTATACCCGCGGACAACGGTCCTCGGGCGTTTGGTAGCCGGTGACGAAAGCCGACGTATCGGCGTGCAGAGTGGCAGAAAAATAAGTCTCGGTAGTCTGGCCGCGATGGAATCGGCTTTGCCACGCTTTTTACGCCCCCGGTAGATGATTTCTTCGTTCCTTTCTACGTAATGGCCCGGCGGCCCGATCTTTTTTGCTTATTACGGCCGAGAGGAGTGCACCGCGCCGCGAAGAGGTCTCGCTAGCCACGAGCGATTCCCAGATGAATGAAAGGATGAATGGAGCGTCATTTCGGGCTACGATAGTCTGGTTTCTCGACCCAGATGCGAGGACCTGCTCCCCCCTCGGGTTTCGGAGGTTGTTTCTTTTCAACGGTGACGAGACCGGAGAGGAATTGATTCCCAGCGATGATTCGAACATCCGCTGAACCTAAATTGAATTCCTGACTCCTAGCTGTTTACTTCTGCTTGTTTATTTGCTCTTGCTAGCTGGGGGATGGATTCTGGACTACTAGATGCGCTATTGGACAGATTTTCCTGGCGAAACTAGTTCTAGACGTGTTTTATTGTTCTTTATGTAATCTCCATTTCGGGAAAAAATGATACCGAAATAGACGCAGAGATTGTTTTATATCTAGGCCACGGATCTTCGTGCAAGTTTCTATTTTAACCCTTTGCACTCGAAGCTATTTTAAGCGTAAGTATAAAATCATTTTTCTAACTTATAGTATTTCTATTTTACACGACAAAATGCATTTTGTGCATATGAAATTGATTCTTGGGACTCGCACAATAGTTACACTCTTAATAATTTTTTAAATCTAAACTTTATTAATATCAAAATTATCTTAAAAGGTGATATAACAAATTTTAGTGGTGCCTCAGAGTGCACTCTGAGGCACCACTAAAATTTGTTATATCACCCTGTCTCTTATACACATCTAGATGTGTATAAGAGACAGGGTGATATAACAAATTTTAGTGGTGCCTCAGAGTGCACTCTGAGGCACCACTAAAATTTGTTATATCACCCTGTCTCTTATACACATCTAGATGTGTATAAGAGACAGGGTGATATAACAAATTTTAGTGGTGCCTCAGAGTGCACTCTGAGGCACCACTAAAATTTGTTATATCACCCTGTCTCTTATACACATCTAGATGTGTATAAGAGACAGGGTGATATAACAAATTTTAGTGGTGCCTCAGAGTGCACTCTGAGGCACCACTAAAATTTGTTATATCACCCTGTCTCTTATACACATCTAGATGTGTATAAGAGACAGGGTGATATAACAAATTTTAGTGGTGCCTCAGAGTGCACTCTGAGTACTTTCCACTCGAGTGCAAAGGGTTAATAATATTTTTGAATAGAGGATTCCCTATGGTAAATAAAATTAATACACTTTTGCGTATGGTATAAAAAAAATGATGCTCTGTGTCTAATCGTAGCGAAAGAATATTGGCATTTTCTTTGAAATGGAATTTGGCATGCATATTAAAATAAAAAACACTTATACTAAAATCTCCTATGTGATTCTGTTTATACTATCATTCTAACTTCCTAAAATTGTCTTCAAAGAAATTGTCCACCGTTGTTTTACATATTCCATAACGTTGTTTCCTTGAACATCCTTCATCATTTCCAAATCTTATCTTCAAATATTTTCACGATCAAACTCTTATAATTGCTGATTAGATACATTTGTGAGAGAAACGAGTAGATCAACTATAAAACAGTGAAAATGTTTAAAGAATTTAAAAATACTGTTGAATTATTTTCCCCTTAATAAAATAATTTTTAAAAAAGTAACGACTGTCTACGTAGTTTATTAATGCAGCAAATTTTTAATGTACATAAGGATCTGCTGTATACGTATAAGTGTATTTTGATAAGATTGTCATTATTGACATAATGTTAAAATGAATTCATTTCTACAAAAGTACAGTTATTGTTGGGTAATGTAAACGCCCGTCCGTATTATTCAATCTGGCAAGTGTTAATACTACGAGGATGAGAATCTTCTTATAATTAGGCAATGCTGGACATTCAAGGTAGTTGGCATCCATCTCTATCGAGTAAGAGGATTTCAAATTTCGACTTCGGGATTCTTCGCAAATTACCACGGGCGAACTAACGCCGTTGAAGCCGCGTTCACTTAAGTACTCGAATCTCCACGGGAACCCAACGGTTTACCATGTTGTACTAATAAAACTACGGCACAGTCAGGGTCCATAAGCGCCACAAAATCTTCCGTTCCCGCGGCCGGAATTGCGAAAGAGGAACAGCGTAATATCTTCCCGGGGGAGCATCGGCGGATGAGCCAATCGTCATCGGACGTTCGCCGGTCATCCGTGAAATTCGAAGTGGCTCCCGCGTTCCGCGGGAATTTCGCGAGCCTCTTGGCCTGCGTGAGTGAAATAACCGTTCAGAGCCATCTTCCCCGATACGGCTTCCGAGAAAAATGGGCAGAGCCGACCACGGTGAAAAGTACTAATTTGATTGTGGACTGCGATTACGCAAAAACTGTTAAATCTGTGACAAAAACTTCGATACGGTAATCTAACATAGCTATGCAACATTTTCGAGTCACAACAGCTTTGCTTTGTGACAGGTGAGGACCATGTTACTAATGAAAAATGGAGATCAAATATATTGGGTTGGCAACTAAGTAATTGCCGATTTCAGTTATAGATGTCTCTCACTTTATGTTATATTATAAAATTATTATTATTATTATTATTATGTTATTTTTTATTATCCGTGAACGTTAGCAACTGGACAAATAGAATGCAGCGGTCAAGGAAAAGCGACCGGAATTGGTCGATCGTAAAGGTGTCATTTTCCAGCAGGACAATGCTAGGCCGCACACGTCTTTGTCCACTCGGCAAAAATTGATAGATATTGGTTGGGAATTGATGTTACACCCACCATATAGCGCCCTGATCTCGCGCCATCGGATTACCACTTATTTCGATCCCTAGACAACTCCCATCGTGGTAAAACTTTTAACGATGATGATGCTGTAAAATCTCACTTAACTCAGTTTTTGGCCGAAAAGGATCAGACTTTCTACCAGCGTGGAATTTTCAAGTTGTCAGAGAGATGGCAA